TATTTAGTTAATAATATAAATATTAAGTGCCTTCTCTCTTCCCCATCATTTTCTGTCCCCATCCCTGATTCCGCTCTCCTTTCCCCAGTGTTCCTACCTGTAGCATTGAAGGAATGCTTGAAATGGTACAACCCTGTAGCTGTGGGTGGTGGTGAAATTGCTTTTAATTCTTAATATTTCCTTCTTGTTTTGCTTTTTTTTAATTTTTATTTATTTTAAATCCTGCAAAGTCTTACTGCCTGAAAGTCAAAGAGATGGATGATGAAGAGTACAGCTGCATTGTGAGTACCAGTACTGTGGCAATGACAACTGCATACTTGGTTTCTACAGCTTCCCAGTGGAAAAGCACTTCTCTGCTTGCAGGCATCCAAACTAGTGAATGCATCCTACGAATTACATGCATTTGTTCTTAACATATTAGAAATTGGAGATCCCTAAATGCTACCTAGGAAACACTGCCAATAACTGTTGTGAATCACTGGTGCTGTGGAATAGCAGACATACCAGACATCTTCTCTGCAGCTTGTTTGCTTGGTGGTTGCCTGTCTCAGTGTTTAAGTAATATTAGCTCGTGTAAGGAGGATTAAGGTGTAATCTTCACAGATTCCACTTGTGTGTAGTGTACAGCTTATCATTAATTCTGGAGTTGTTTCTGAGAAATGGAGATTTAGCTTCTCTAGCAAAATGCGTGTGAAAGCTGCATTTGTAGATGAGGAAAATTGATTAAAGGATCTCTCTTAGCAGTAGTTTTTTTTGTAAAAATGAGTAATTTAAAATTTAAAAGACTTAAACCCAAACAAACAAACAAACCCCCCCCCAAACTGGCAACTTTCCCCATTAACAGTTTGCTGTCTTTTTTAGAGTTTTACAACTGTAATCCTTAACCGCTCTGTTTAAGATAGTTAATGGCGTCCCCTACATGCTGAATTTCCCTGCATAAAAGTAAGATCTTGTCTTATCCTAGATATTGATCTCAGAGCAGGGCTTTTAATCTTTGGAATGCCTAGTTGCCAGTGCCGGGAAGGAATGGAACTTTCCTAACGCAACATTTAATTGTATCTTTCCTGCTGAATGGGAAGGAAAGAATCCCAGTCTTGGACAGCAGAGTAACATCTTTGGGTTTTGGCATGTGCAGTGTGCATTGCCAAGCCATAGTCAGTAACATAGATTTTTAGATACGTAATGTTTACAGGTGCAAGAGAAGAATGCTGTTTCGCTGACAGACCTAACCCCTTTCTCTCAAAACTATTTTGGGGGAGAGTGTATAGGTCCATCCCTAATGGTTTCCAATTTGGTTTCTGGACAGTTGTAGATATCACAGGGTTCCTGTCATGCAATCAATATAGGGTGAAGCTTGCAGAGGAGGGCAGAATTTTTTTTTGAGATTGATATAAATTAATATATCCCTCAAACTCTAGATGTGTTTGTTCATAGTGCCTATCTTAATAGTTCAGATTAGAAGCTGTTCCACTTCTCCATGCTGGGTTGAAAGGTGCCTGTCCTTTTGTCCTTGCTTACTAGTGATGCTTTTTTTTACGATGGTTGGTATGTATTTGGGCCTTCAGAATGGCCCCATTGACTGCCGGTTGTTGATGTGGCTCAGTGTTCCTCCTGTTTCGTGCTTTCTGACTGCAGTTCCAGTGAGCTTGAGAGGGCTGTAATAACCCAAGCTCATTGTGAGTTCCCATTGCTAGGCAAACTGTGTGTACAAGCACTGTTGTGGGAGTCTAAAACGGTGCCATATTTTTGGCAGGCTCTGGGTGAACCCCTCTACCGGGTCAGCACTGGGAACTATGAATACCGCCTGATCCTACGTTGCCGGCAGGAAGCTCGCACGCGCTTTGCCAAGATGAGGAAGGATGTGCTAGAGAAAATAGAGCTCCTGGACCAGAAACACGGTGAGTACTGCTGAAGGGGTCAGGCAGACATGGCTTTGGCCTTTGTGCTTCTCCTTCATCTCAACTCGAAAGTCTTTGCTGAAGAACCCTTCTGTGGCTGTGCCCAAGACACCTGCCCTCAGGGGCCAAAAGGGATTAAAGTGTAGGGGATTGTATGTAATGCTGGCAAGGGAGGCTTGATCGCAGCCTTCACACTCTGTTCCCAACTTGTCTCCACTACAGTGCAAGACATCGTGTTCCAGCTCCAGCGTTTTGTCTCCACGATGTCCAAGTACTACGACGACTGCTATGCTGTGCTGCGAGACGCAGATGTCTTTCCCATTGAGGTGGACCTTGCCCGCACTACTCTCAACTATGGGCAGAAGGACACGTACACAGATGGGGCAGAAGATGAAGAAGGAGGAAGCGAGAGAGAGGGTAGCGGGAAGGAGGACGCAAATGGTGAAAAGCTCATTGATGATGCCTGAGTGTGCCGGCATGGCCAGAAGAAAGACTGCAGACTGTTAAAAAAACATGTATTTCACATGGCGATTGATCCTCCGTGACTCTGTATGTCCAGCCTGGGATTCCTCCTCTGCTTTGGGTGGGGGTAGCTGGTTGGATTGGGACCAATCTCTGCTTTCCTCTCTCTTCCCTTGCGTGTTTGCCTGGATATTCCTTTTTCCTCCAGAGACCTCTGCCACCCAACTTGGGCACACTGAGGTGTGAGGAGGAACATCTCCTACCACACTGCCACGTGACACTGCGTGCAGACAGGACACTGCTGAGCGTGTGGGATGCACCGCTCCCCTCTGGCGAGTGGAAGCCAGTTAAGCATCTGGGGATGACTGCAAATGGCAAGAACAGCCCCTTCTGTCCTCCCCTTGCGCTACGGGAAAGTGTTAGCACCAGCATTGTTTTCTTCACCCCACTGCTCGCTGTCTTCAAGCTTTCCATTCTCTGGCCTGTTTTCAGCTTCCTCTGTCTCTTCTGTCTGTCCCCATGGGCTGCAGGACCAATTTTTGTAGGATGATCACTCCCACCACTCCCAGCTCCCTGCACCACTGTTTTTAAGAAACAGGAGCAAGTCCAAACCAGTGCCCAGAACTAGTGGTGGTGCCTGTGACCTGATCACTTCCCCAGCCGAGGGACTAGGGGAAGCTGCCAAAGCAGAGGCTGGTGGAAGTAGTTGCCTGGCATGCTGAGTTGCTGCAACCCTGCTGCAAAGGTTGGGAAGTCTCTTCCCCTGGCTACCATCCTCTTCATAGTCCCTGAGCTCCTTCACGGCTCGTACTGCCTGCGCACTCCATAGCTACACCCCAGGGCTAGAATCCTGCGGGATGTGGCTCTGCCCTTCCCTGCGGGAAGGAATGCTCCTACTCAGCAGAGATGCTGAAGTGAATGTACTTGTCTGGGGCAGACAAGTTCCCGGGAATAACAGCAAAGCTGCATGCATTGCCTTTCCATTGTTGTCCTCTCTTACAGCTCCTTGTGATGGACAATAACCAAATGTCCTTCTTGAGGGAGGATGTGTAGCCAGTCCTGCATGCTCTTTCCTTGTGCAGGTGCCAGGAGGAGCCACTTCAGGACCATAAAGGAGATATACCCTATCCTTAAACTAGAGAGAAGAGAGGAAGGCTCATGGAGAGGGGAAGACAAGGCCCGTAGGCAGAGGCTTTGAGATTTTTTTTAGTGCAAAGCATGACTAGCATACCACCCCCTGCGCTCTTCTTTACGCCACCATTTTGAGCTGCCTCTGGGCCAGCCAGAAGCAGCAGCTACATCCCATTCCACTGCAGAAGGGAAGGAGGGAAAGGAAAACTAAGGTGAGGTGCTGCTTTCCTCCTTCCTTTTCTCTTCTCCTTCCTCCATCCCTGTGGGCTGACCCCAGATGCAGACGGCACTTTCTCATTTAGCAGGCGGCACAACTGCCAGGAGTGGTGTGCTTCTCAGAGGCAAGGGTTTTGACTTCTCTGTCATTACATTCTAGTGGTAGTGAGAGAAGTTATTTAAGGGCATTAATTTATGATCGAGATGTTTGTTTTGTTTTGTTTTTTCTCTTTGATTTGTTTTTGGAGTTTCGTCATCTCCGTGGGTGCCTGGAAGAAAGCCATCCACAGTCAAGCTGCTTTGAAGATTTAAACGGACTCTGATGTACTGATTATTGTCTCTAATAAAGGAAAATCTGACATTTCGTTTCCTGTCCTTCATGGATTTTCTTTAGAGATTTGTTTGCTCATCCTCCATTGGTTTTAATCTTACAATATAATGATGGGAAGATGGGTGTCATGTGCTGGCCATTCTTTTTGTTGCTCATATTGGTGGATAATCTCTATGCCAAGCTGCGGTGGTCACTGCAGCACAGGTTTCCAGAGGAGGAGGCTTATAAATGCTGTAGCAAGGCCAGTCCACGTAATACCAGTTTCTCTGCATCTCTGCTTCCCAGGGCAACACCAGCCTTGTAAAGCCACTGGTTGCCTCAGTCCTGCCTGGTGGCATCCTTGCACCCCTCCAGGGCCAGCTTCTCCACACAGCTCAGCTGTTGCATCACAAGCTTGAGCTGATGCTTAAATCCCTGATCCTCTTTCAGAGCTGTTTGTTGCGCCAAAATACAGAGCGGTTAAGAGGAACAGAGAAAATGCTTCCTCAGAGCCTGTCTGAAAGCCAACACCAAGTGGAAGGCAGCATCACCAGGTTTTTCGCCACCTGACTGGTGGAGGGGAAGGAAGAGGGCTGGGTATCTTACAGCACTGTCTGTAGCAAGAGCTTGTACCCTAAGGGCTTTCATGTGCTTTTGTGAAAAAATTTAAGAGTGGGAGGCTTGGTGGGAAATGGTGACTGGTGACAGGAAAACAGAGGGGACCTTGTTCTAGTGACCTGCCTGGTGCTGACAAGGGCAGTTGTTTTCACGCCGTGGACCTTAGACCTCTGGGAAGTTGTGAGCCGCTTCTTGGAGCGGGTATCGGTAAATAATGAAAACCCTGTCCCTCAGGCCCGGGCTTGGGGTTGTTGGCGAAAGACCTGCAGAGCAATTTGGTCCAGCAGAGCAGAAACAGTGCTCTTACCTCATGGGGAGCAGAGAACAAGTTGGCAGAGCAGTGAATGAATGCCTACAGGGCTCCATCACCCATGTTGCTGCTTCTCGTTCTCCCAGAGCTTTGCATCTGGGGTTTGTTGTCGTGCTTAGTCTGATTTGGGGTGTTTCGAAGTGAGTTTGAATAGGAAAAAGCCCAAAGTCACCGCAATCAGAGCTGACAATGGTGGTGTTAGCCACAGTGGGACAGCACAACCCCGTGGGTTTTACCCTCTCCCCTCCAATTTCCCGTTCTTATGTCTCTTCTTAAACTGACATTCTTCAGCAGCTTTGCTTTGCTCATCATTTACTGCTCTTTGCTTGGGAGCAGCTCAATGAAACTTCCCTTCACATCCCTGCTCCCCTGCTGCATTAAAATAGCTTTACGGGTCCTGCAGGATTTGCCCATTACCCGTTAATTTGTAGTCAATCCAGTCTGGAATGAAGCACCTATTTTGACGGTCTCGTGAGCTGCCTTCCCTGTAGCCCTCTGCTTAGTTTTTGATCCCTCACTGTAGTCACAGGTTTCCCCCCCCAGGGCCTCTGAGGTGAAGCAGTTCAGGAAAACGGAAGAAAGGGCTTTGGCCAGGGGTGTTTATAAAAGATCCAGTCCTAAAGCAGATTAGGAGTGGTTTAAGCATGCCAGGGAAGGTTGTCCTCTCTCAATCTAGAAATCCACCACTGCAGCAGGGGTGAGGGGGTCATGCTTGCCTTACCACGTGCTCCGACACCCTCGTTAGTGGCACCCAGGGGCCGCGGCTTGTCCTTCTGCCTTACCTTTGATTCCTTTACGTAAGAGGGTTTTCTCTATTTAAAAGGAAAATAGACACATG